GTTCCATGTCAATAAAAATGGGGCCTATGTTGACACTTCAGCATTTAACAGAGTTATTAACGGTTTGTGTAACGGAGGAGAAAATTTGTAGGTTTTCCCTGACTTTGAGTATGTACTTGTAAATGTCCCCAAAGATGGGTATGAACTTAAAAATGACCCTATAGTTGGGGTGGTCTCTTTTGTAGTTTGTCCTTTTAATTTTGTATTAACATACCATAAGTGTTTTCTATTAATTTTTAAATCCAAAGTTATGTAATTATCAGGTATTTCCTTAGAATCTGATTATTGAGAGTTTTATAACATCTTATTTTATAAAATCAGTTATTAGAATTTATCAAAATCTAACTGCAGTTTCCAACCATTTGATCTCAGTTTGTGCAACAATCCACATCTATCTCGGCATGGTTCTTGCAAATTAAAGAAGAAGCACAATTTCATTATTCCCATAGTAGTGCCAACCGCTGGAATTTCCATCCTCTTGTTAGTTGCAGTAGCTATCTGGTGGTGGAGCCTCAAAAGGAATAGGCATGAGGGTAAGACTTCCAATATATGTTAAAGTAATTTCTTTCGGCGATAAATATGAAGACTGAACGTTTTGGTTGTATAAGATACATGCTCATTAAACTTGTCATGTTTTTAGGAGGAGATGTCATAGATGAAAAAGCAAGCCCTCAATACGGGTCATTAGAATCAACAAAGCGACAGTTTACATATTCTGAGATAATAAAGATGACCAACAACTTTGAGAGGGTTCTTGGCAAAGGTGGATTTGGAACCGTTTATCATGGCTACATGGAACATACTCAAGTGGCTATAAAGATGCTTTCAGCATCATCTGTTCAAGGGTTCCAACAATTTCATGCAGAGGCATGTTTGTCAAATTAAATAAACTAACACAATGTCTTTAGCTCAATCTTATGTGATGAATTGACATGTGTTTATTTGTGGGCTCTTATATTGCAGGTTAATCTTCTTATGAGAGTTCATCATAAAAACTTGACAGGCCTTGTTGGATATTGCAAAGACGAAACCAACGTAGGGCTTGTCTATGAGTATATGGCCAATGGAAACTTATTGAACCATCTTTCAGGTTTGACTGCAAGTAGTACTTCCAAATTTTTGGGAACTCTGTAACTTAATTCTTGCACCACCATATGATTGGGGCTCCTTTGTAAGTTAAGACAGAAAGAAACAAGGCTTACGCTCTTCTGTTCTTCTTATGGATGCAGATAGCAGATCAAGTATCTTGACTTGGGAAGATAGACTTCGAATAGCAACAGATGCTGCACAAGGTCTGCAACTAATAAAATGATTTTCATGATCCTTTTTTTAGCAAGAATCTCTTTTATTTGTTTGAAGTTTTGTGTGAGCGATGCAAGAATTTTAAAATGCAGGATTGGAGTATCTGCATTGTGGTTGTAAGCCGCCTATAATGCACAGAGATGTGAAATCAACAAACATCTTGCTGAATGAAAATTTCCAAGCCAAAATATCTGATTTTGGCCTGTCTAGAAATTTCCCTACTAATGATGGAACTCATGCATCCAGCCTTCTTGCTGGCACTCCTGGCTACCTTGATCCTGAGTAAGTATTTCACACTTGTAATTTTCCCGTTATCATCTTTACTAGTACTTCAATTCACAACAAGTCTTGGAAGCAAACACAAATTAACTAAAACAGCAAGAAGAATTAGGAAAGAAAATGTGATCTGATGAGTTCCATGTATGGTTTGGCTTGCAGGTTCTACCTATCAAACAGGTTAAATGAGAAAAGTGACGTTTATAGCTTTGGGGTTGTGCTGTTGGAGATTATCACAAGCAGACCCGTTTTAACGAGGACGCATGAGAGAATTCACATAAGTCAATGGGTTGGTCTCATGCTTGCAAATGGAGACATTAACAGCATCGTCGATCCTAGGTTAGAGGGAAATTTCAATACCAACTCCGTCTGGAAAGCTTTGGAAATAGCAATGGCATGTGTATCCATAAATGCCATCAAGAGGCCAAGCATGAGCCAAGTAGTGGTGGATTTGAAGGAGTGTTTGGCAACAGAATGTGCTCAAACAAATCGTAGCCATGTAACTGGATTCAATAATTCCAATGCATTAATGGCTGACAATTCGGTTTTTAGGCTTACTCCCTCCGTGAGGTAGTACTGGTACCAGCTCATAATGCTTCTACTTGAGTTCCATTGTGCCTTTGTAGCTAATCATGAAAAGAAGCATGAATTTGGGCTCCTGTTTTGGCTCTGTTCTAGACTTGTAGTATTGATATAAGTTCATATGAATTTGGGCTCCTATGTGCAACACTATTTGCCTCACAACGAGTGCATTAAAATTTAACCCGGCTGAAAGTACCGCGTAAAATTCAGCACTATATTAATAGAGTCTCCTTCAAAAATCACCCATTCCAAGGCTAACATTTCAGCAAACATCACAGCAGCCTCCGTTGCAACTACAGCCTCCTCATGCTCTGCTGATGAAACCCCGGTCACCTGTTTGGGCAACCCGGCAACAAAACACCCCTGGTTATCCCCTGTCACAGCGTTTTTTGGTTCACTGTGGGGTAAATGGTTATCATTGACCATGGCGTGACTCTTATGACTCTCCCTCCCACCCTAGCCAAAAACAAAATTTTAAATAATATTTATAATAACACATTTTCTTTTGGTAAAAAGAAAAAGAAAAATACTTTTATTTACTAGTCAATAATAAATTATTAATGTCTAATTATCAATTCCATATCAAGCCCAAATTTTCCACAAGGCAAGCCACAGATTCACATTGACAGGTACGTCCACGACAACCGAGTCAAAGTCAATGCTCAATATTTAAGCAGTATAAATCTTGGACACCATACACATGGGTTACTGGGCAGGTTAATGTTGATTAGAGGCCTGCACCATATCCATTATTAATATCTATTTTTTTCCGTTTAACAAGTCTTCTCTAATCAAACCCAAATTTCCACACAATTGTCTACGTAAATTGGTCATCAATCATCACCCTATAATGTGATACGATGATGTTTCTGACATGGACGGTTACGCGCAAGAGGCCTACAAGACGACCAAGTCATGATGCGATGTAACTTTGTATATTAGTGAACCCTGACTTGGCAGTAGCTTCCACGCTGGTGGGAGAAAATTAATTCTACTATAATAACCAAAGGAAATTACAATCAAGTGTTCAAATTAACTAAACTAACAGAACTTAAAACATTGACTTTGAGAAGTGTATGATGACTTTCTGAGCTGCCGATGGATAATTGGATGATGAACATGAGACAAAAGCATAGGCTTGACTTATAGACTTGAGTTAAGCCACATCCGACATAACAACATGATCCACTAGGCCAATGTTACTTAAATTTGTGTGTTTGTTTCCCTTTTAGTGATCATGTCGTGGACATTCAAGCAACTCCTCTTTCTACTTGGTTTCGCTCTTAATCTGATGCTGCTAGTTCGTTCCCAAGATGTTCAATCAAGTATATAAATAAATAAATTAAACAAGTAGTTTGAAAGGACAATAGGCAAAAGGAAGCCAAAACTGTGAGAGAAATAGAGAAATGGGACTGGCCGTGATGTTGGCACTGGCAGAGCACCGAACGCAACGCATCAGGTGAACCATGAAGATTATGAGTTGTGAGTGATTAGTTTGCCACTGATTGTGTGTTATGTTATGTTTTTGATATTATTAATTTATTGTACATCAGTTGAATATTAAAAGTAAACTATATTGGGTTTTGTCAAGTAATCGACTGTCTTTATTTAAATAAAACAAAAAATAATGTATTATTCTTTTTCTATCAGTCTTTGAATTTAAAATTTTTTTCAATGAATAAAATAAAGGACACTACAGGACTAAGAACTAGTTGATAACCAAAAGGGTAAATTACTCAAATGGTACTCAAACTTGTACGCGATTTACATGGATCAAGAACGTCTGGGCACAACGAATGGGGCTTGAGATCCCAAGAAAACTTGCGATCTAAAGCATTGATGCGCTCCTAAAAATGGTTCAAAATTTGTAGGGAATTTGGGAGAATAAATCGAAGGGCCCTGGTTTGGGTCTCATGATTTTTTTTCTCTTTTTCTTCAATTATTTTCTAATTTTGTATTTATTTTAACCCTATTTTATTTGTTAATATGAAAAGTCGTATTTGCCCTAAAATTTGGTTACATTTAACAGAAAATGTAACTGTTGGATCAAATTCGAGATTAAAATAGAGTTTATGTACCATTTGAACTAATAATTTAATTTAGGGACCAAAATGTAAATCGAGTACAAGTTTGAGGACCATTTGAGTAATTTACCCTAACCAAAAAGAATGTATGAATGTGAGTATTTATTGTCTCTCGTGCTATGGAATATAGAGTTTTTCTATTTAAACCCCACACTTTTCTCTGTTTACCCAAATACTTAAATCATTAAGCTCTTAAGTTTTATTATTGTGTAAAAAGACAAAAAAAAGTCATCCAACTTAATACTTACTCCTAGTACATCTCTATATACACCCCACCACTCTTCATATTAAGTTTTAGAAATGAAATTGGTACTTAAGTGAAGGGAGGTAAATTAAAACCCCAATGGAAAGATGTATGACAACAATGATCAAATAAACCCAAAGACAATATGACTAGTCAACAACTAGTCATAGACCTATGAACTTACGGAAAACACAGATTCCCAACATATCAAATATTCAAATCCCTGCCACCCTATAAGAGAACTATGACCTAGGCACTTAGAAGGATTCATCAATCTAAGTATCCCCTTTGCTAGCAACAACTGGAGTGATAGGTGTGTGAACATTCATCAACATTCCAAAGATAACAGATACAGTATGGCTAGTCATAAAATCAAGAACATCACATTAGAAATGTTCACCTAGAAACCCACCATTGGGAAAAATTGGGGGTCATCACTTCGACCAGGCAATCCACTAAGTCAAGAAGATTCTTACAAAAAAAGTAATTACAAACTTAACCAATCATAGGTCTTTTAGGAAAAGAGTACTACCTCCCTATGCAACCTTCTCCAAACTTAGTTGAGCTAGTAGTTTGTCCTTCATGGAATGGTAGCTAATGCATCAGCTTCTTCACCCCATAGCACCGCAACTCAACTCTAGATCGTCACCAATGAATGAAATATAGATTCTAGAATGAAATAGTCAATTTCTTCAAGAAATCATCCTCTTGAAGAAATCAACAGAAAATATGCTCTAGCTAGGATGATGAAGTGTTTAAACTAAACCCTAGATACATATTTCAAAAAACAATTTTCAAAATCTCATAATGAAAATCCAAATCTCACCAAGTAGAGAATGCAAAGTAAAAGTTTTACTCTAAAAAATTCTCAATGGGTGAAGTGGATTTCAAAGATCAAAGCAAATTTTAAAAACCAATTTTAAAACCTCATAATGAAAAATGGATACTTTCATCAAAGAAGAAGATGCATAGCAAAAACAAAACTCTCAAGAAACTCTCCCTGTCAAAAGTGACAGCTACAAGAACCAAGACTCCCTTTATACCCAAAAAAGCTAGGTCAGAAAACAATCCACATGGCAGCTAATAATTGAAGCTATAATGAGACAAAAAATCATTAGGGCAAAAAATACAGCTCGCCAAGTGTGAGTCTCACGTGAGATTTTAAATGAGTTGTCAGTGAGCTGGCAGTACCAGATGACTAGTCATCACGTTGACTTGATATGTCCTAATATATATGCAATCCATGATTTACCCTTGAAGATCTTGATTGCATCGTGCCACTGTTGATCTCAGCCACAATAATCATCTAACTAGACTAACCTAGTCTAATTAACCTCGAGCTTGATGAATTATATGTGCAATTATGACGTTGTCAAGGGAAGCTAAAAGCCTTATCTAAACATAACCTAACAAGAAAAACACAAACTCTTCTACAACTTATTGCCATATTACTCTTCTCTTTCAATCCAAGAAACCTACTACACTCTCATCTTCTCTTCACAAACCCTAAATATGGTATGCAAATAGTGGATTGTGGGTTGTCAATTAAGGTATGTAATGTGAGATTATTTCTTGGTTTGGGACTCCTCCCATAATTATTGAGGATGTTGTGATCAAAGACTCGTTGTAATTCTGTTTGTTATCAATACATCATTTCTCTTCAACAACAAAAAAATGCTGACGAACATTGCATATGACATCATTAACTAATATTATATTGTTTGATCATAATATATTTTTATGAAGATCAATATATGTATATATATATATATATATTGGATAGTTGACATGCATTGCTTAATTGAGCCGTATTCCTTTTTTCTTTTTTTTTTCGTGGCAGCCACAACAAAATACTTTTACTCTAAGCCATGCATCTCCAATCTTTAGTAAGAAAATAATGTTAAAATTTTATAATTAAAGAACCTAGAATATTTTGTTTTTTCATTCAAGTTGGATGTTAGATTGAACTTTGATTTTGTACATTATTTTTTATGGGGTTTTAACTGCAATGGTCCTTGTTTTATACCCAAATTTTATTTTGATGCTCTATTTTATTTTTTGTGGTTTATGTAATCCTTATACGTCCATTTGCGTCGCAATTTCGTTTTTCCACCAATTCTGTTTACTTTCGTCAATGTTAGGGGTAAATCAAACATTTTACTTCTTGTATATATGGTAAATCAAATATTTCTCCACCATAGTATAAAAATAAATAAATAAATAAATAGCAAAATTGAATAGAACAGATGAAATTTTACCCATCAATAAATGGCCAGATTGTCGAAATAATACAGAATGACGAAATTAATACCCATGAGAGATTAGAGGACGGTAGAAACCAAAAAAAACAAATTGAATGATCAAAATGAAACGCAGGTATTACTTGACTTGACCATTACGGTTAAAAGTCCTTTTTTTATTTATTTATAATGTATATACATAGTTTTAAATCATTGCATGACCCCAGGGGCGGAGCCACACTGGGACCAGTGTGGTCCCGGGCCCCCACTCTAGTTTTTTTATATTTTAAAAGTAATATACTGTTATGTATTTGTATATGTATATTATTTCAAATACTTTATGTTTTGATATGTACCTACATGTATTGTGGCGGATTTATTAAGGCACAAGGAGGTAGTTCAAATTGCGTCCTTGCTCAGCTAGTGGTGACGCACTCCAGGTGTACAGATTACCTTATTTCCATTTTCAACATTTAAGTAAATGTCTTTGTCCTTTGACTTTAATTTATTTTTATATTACTCCATTTACTTAAGTTTACAATGTAAATAAGGAAGTACTTCCTATTTGAATAAAATAAAAATACTATAAAATCAAATTCTCACCAAGTCAAAATATGAAAAATCGGTTTTAGTGTAAAATACGATTTAGGCTAAAAATGATGGCTCATTAAGTCAATATATACTTCATACTAAAATCCCATAAAATCAAGTTTTTTTATTTCATGTGTAAGGAATAAAAGCCGCCAAAAATTATCTTGAGAAAATGATTATTCCGAAAAACCATTTTTCATACTTAGTCAATATTTTTTCATGTATGATATGAATGCATAAAGGGGCCTAATTTTGTTTTTAATTTGGGAAATATTGATTTTTTTTTCCTTTCTATTGGATTAAATGGGGAAAATGCTTTAAAGATATTTGCTAAATTGCTACTCTTTGTCTATCTCTTGCAATTTTTCTTGCTTAGAATGTATTTGTCTATCCCTTTGTCGAGAACAATTATGATTGCAACCAATACACAAAATAATTCTTGACATATGTGATATATATACACTATTTTTTGTATGTATTATGAGTTCGAATTTTTGATTCTTTATATTTTGTAAGAAGCCCCCACACACATGAAATCATGACATCGCCACTGCATGACCCTTATCAATGTTGATACACAATATGCATTCAAATGATATACCTGATCAAAATTTCAGTCTAACTACATGGTTTCAATAAAAAAGAAAACAATCTTATAGTAGAAGAGGTAGATTTCTTCGCCATGCATGAAAGTAGTAGGAAGGGTAGTTATAATATATTTATGGAGGAATTACATTGACCATAGTCTTACATTGCTCTGGATTTGAAACCCCCCAATTGAATTCGTCAAACTTGAAGTAATTGAAGCAATAAGTAGTGAGGCGTGGACTACATATAGGAAAGGACATAAAATATAAGGCATACATGTACGAACACATAAAATATTGAGGATCTGATGTGGATACGAAGCATGCAACGAATGAGGCCCAAAATAATTTAAAATAATTAATTACTATTTATTATTTGATTTACAAAATTAGTAAAATATTAAATACTAATTATACACTAAAGAAATAATAATTAAAGCAATTAAAAAGGACGAAGGTATTACTTAATTACAAAAAAGGAAACCATTTTGTGCCGTATAGCCGCGCGGCTATACCTTCTAAATATTCGAATATATTTATCGGTATAGCAGTTTACACTGTTCAAATCATTTCAATCAAATGTATAAAGTTACTCATGTCAGAACCTAGTGATCTCCTCTTCTACTGTACAACAGGTCTGTGCTACATAACACTTCGAAGTTTTTATACGATCAAGGTTTTTATGCTCATTAGACTTTGTATTGTTCTTAGGAGATGTCATATATAGATGCAAAACCCAGCCCTCAGTATGGGTCATTAGAATCAACAAAGCGACTTACGTGTTCTGAGATACTAATGATGACCAACAACTTTGGGAGGGTCCTTGGCAAAGGTGGATTTGGAACAGTGTTTATCATGGCTACATATGGAACATACTCAAGTAGCTATAAAGATGCTTTCACCATCATCTGTTCAAGGGTTCCAACAATTTCATGCAGAGGCATGTTCGTCAAATTAAATAAACTAACACAATGTCTTGAGCTCAATCATATGTAACATGTGTTTATTTGTGCCTTAAATTGCAGGTTTATCTTCTTATGAGAATTCATCATAAAAACTTGACAAGCCTTGTCGGATATTGCAACGACGAAACCAACGTAGGGCTTGTCTACGAATATATGGCCAATGTGGAAACTTATTAGATCATCTTTCAGGTTTGGCTGCAATTGAACTTAAGTACTACTTCCAAATTTCATGCACCACCATATGATTGGGGTTCCTTTGGGTTTTGCTCCTCTATTCTTCATATGGATGCAGATAGCATATAAAAAATAATAATAATAAACTAAATACAGCGATAACCATTCATTTGAGTCCACCTCACAATATCATCTCATTTTCTGAACAGTTCGTCAGTGGTGGAATATATATTAGAAGTTTCACCAGTGACTGGCTAGCCTGCAAAGAAAGTACCAAAAACACTTCATGACATTAACTCTTGGCCAAATATGTTGCCGTCTAATGGAATTAAATAATGTGATTCTTTACAGTTCACTTTCTAGAATTATTCTGTCAAAATATTGTACTCTATAGATTTGCTAATATCGTACATAAAATGATAACTCTGCATATGGTTTCTCAAAGTAGAATAATATTATCGCAGAGAATGAAGCCATTCCTCTTTCCACTGCTTGGTGGCTTTGCTTTTATGCTCCTCCTAGTTCATGCCCAGGATGATCAAACAGGTATGTCTATCTCCAATTGCCCCAAAAAAAAAACAAAAAACAAAAAAAAGAAGAAAAAAAAGGTTGCTTTGGTAACAGTGTATAGTGTAAGCCATACATTTTAGTAAGCACAAGACATCTAATATGTGTGTCTCTCTTTCAGGCTTTATTAGCATAGACTGTGGCCTTGCAGAAAATACCAGCTATACAGAAAAGATGACAGGAATTAACTACATTTCAGACGAAACCTTCATAAGCACCGGTGAAAATAACGTCGTATTGCAAGAGTACAGAAATAAGTATCAAGAGCCCTACATGTCTCTTAGGAGTTTCCCAGGAGGGATCAGGAACTGCTACAAAATCAATGTCACAAATGGCACCAAATATTTGATCAGATCAAGTTTCAAATATGGGAACTATGATAGGCAGAATATATTGCCAGAATTCGACTTGCAACTTGGAACTAATGTTTGGGATTTGGTGAAGTTGGAGGATGCATCAACCATTACAAACAAGGAGCTCATACATGTCCCTCTAAGAGACTATATACATGTTTGTCTAGTGAACACCGGCTTGGGGATTCCATTTATATCGGCACTAGAACTGAGGCCTTTACCTAATACATCTTATCAAACACAAACCGGGTCGTTGGCACTTCAATGGCGGCTTGACACCGGTCAAATAGCAGCTAATTTGACAGAATACAGGTGAGTACATAATGTCCAAGGAAATGTTTACATGGTTGAATAGCTAGAATCAATACTGATGGTCCCTTGAATATCTATTTAGGTATCCAGATGATGTTCATGATCGCTTCTGGTATGGCTACTATGACGACAATTGGAAACGAGTAATTACCTCGTCCACAATCAACTCTGATGTTCACGATAGTTTCCAGCCCCCATCTGTTGTCATGAGCACAGCTGCCACACCAAAGAATGGAACTGATGCCTTGTACATTTCCTGGATGGATTTTGATAACAGTGCAGAATATTTTGTTTACATGCACTTTGCAGAATTTGAAAAGCTCCAACCCAACCAGTCTAGGCAGTTCAACATTACTATGAATGGAGAGTCCCTTCATGAGAAAGTTGTTCCTTATTACTTGTCCTCCACTATTTACAGCACTAGAGCTTTGAGTACTGGAGGAAAATATAATATTTCAATCTTTAAGGCTGAGAACTCTACCCTTCCACCAATCCTTAATGCCATCGAGGTGTACACCATAAAAGAATTCTTAGAATCAAGAACAAACCAAGCAGATGGTAAGTACTTTTTCCTTATACTTGTGACACAAGCTAATTTTGTCACTGTTAATTTAGTGATATATTCTGTTTACTTTTGAAAATATTAGTTGATGCAATCACAAGCATCAAGTCAACTTACAAAATTAAGAAGAACTGGCAAGGAGATCCATGCTCCCCTCTGGTTAACTCGTGGGAAGGTATAAACTGTAGCAATGAGCACACTAGAATAGTATCCTTGTAAGTACTATGACTGTCTTACTCAAAATATTTTTAATTAATCCCAATTATGTCTTAATTATTCAATTACGGAACATATATGCAATCATGCAGGAACTTGTCCTCCAGCGGATTAACAGGGGAGATAGCTCCTTATATATCCAATCTCACCATGATACACATTTTGTAAGTAGGCCTTAACTACTACATATTTGTAAAATATGCCCATAATTGGTCACAATCAGTAGTTAAATGAGTAAAGCTGCTTATCATTTCAGAGATTTATCAAACAACAACTTAACTGGATCAATCCCAGACTTTTTGTCTCGACTGCGAAAGTTAATGGTCCTGTAAGTTATTGACTTGCTTATGGGTCTAAACAGCCAACTCCTTAAAAATTATGGTAATAGATCTGTTGCATGCTTTGCAGAAACTTGGAGAAAAACAAACTCACAGGTTTAGTTCCCGTAGGACTCATTCAGAAGAGGAAGGATGGTTTGCTATCCCTACGGTACGATTTTTATTTTTAGAAGAAAGGAGGAAGAAAATTAACAATAAAAATAAAGAACAGAAGTGCTATTTTGAAGTCCATCAAAATCATATATTACTATGATTGCCATCAACAATTTTCTTTTCAGTTTGTGTGAAAATCCAAACCTATCCGGACAAGTTTCGTGCAAAAAGAAGAAGCAGAGTATCAGTATACTCTTGGCAGTGTCAATCCCTGGAATTTTCATCCTCTTATCAACTGTATCAGCTGTTTTATGGGTGGGCTTTAAAAGGAAAAAGCAACATGCCCATTTTGGTGTAGAGGTGATGCAGAATTCCAACCAAAACAGTTTATTGGAGTCAGATGGCTAACGCTTTACATACCCAGAGATTGTGGAGATTACCAGTAATTTTAAATCAATAATTGGAAGAGGCGGATTCGGAGAAGTCTACTTTGGCACTCTGCAAAATCAGACTCAAGTTGCTGTCAAGTTACTGATTTCATCGTCAACACAGGGCTCAAAAGAATTTGAAAATGAGGTTGCCATATGAAGAAGGATATATATATATACTTACATGTTTGTTTTGTATTGATTACGAAGAGAGCTAAACAAGATCAACATTAGTTGTTGCTAAAAATGATTGATAGCCATAACAAATGCAGGTTAGTCTGTTGATGAGAGCTCATCATAGAAACTTGGTTTCTCTGGTTGGGTACTGTGATGAAGGGGAGACTATGGCACTAGTTTATAATTTCGTTGCTAATGGAAATTTGCAACAGCGTTTATCAGTTGGTAAATACCATTCATATGAACTCGCTTTATGGGGATTGACCATCTATAAGCCTAATTCTCCTCTATTGCACATTTTCAACGAAATTTAAAGAATTCTATGGTCACTGAAAACTTTTGGGTGCAGATGTAACTTTACACGTTTTGACTTGGAAGGAGAGACTTCAAATTGCAGTTGATGCAGCACGAGGTAAGCACTAAAACAAAAATAAAAATGAAATGAAAAATTATATATATAATCTAGTTTCTTCTCTTCCAGTTCTCAAAATTTAATTCTGCTCGTGTTCATCTTGGAAACATTAATGAAATAGTTATGACTAATGTATGTACGTACATATATGTACGTGTGTTTTTGTGTTGAAACCCAAAAACATAGTATGTTGCAAGAAAATCGTGGAGTTAAGATCTTCGTTTAGTTAACATGGCTTAAGTAATTTTTGCAGGACTGGATTATCTACACAATGGCTGCAAGCCATCAATAGTACATAGAGATCTAAAGACTTCAAATATCTTGCTAAATGAAAATCTTCACGCCATGATAGCCGATTTCGGTCTTTCTAAAGTTTTTGCAACTGAAAGTGCCACTCATGTATCAACTGACCCTAAAGGAACATTTGGGTACCTTGATCCTCAGTAAGTGTTAATTTGCTCACTAAATTTTCCAAAATTTTCTGGAATCTTGTTTTATGATCAGATCCAAATTGTAACCTTTTCATATAATGTGAACTGTTTGAATTGAGTTATATGTTTGGTCATTTTCTATATATAAACCCTAAACCCTAAATCCTATAGGTAGGTAGTGCTTTATTAGATCAAATTATCCCTAAAACAAGGAATATCTAATTAATTGTTTTCCCTATTCTGCCAGATATTACTACACAGGAAAGCTGAAAAAAAAGAGTGATATATACAGCTTTGGGATTGTGTTGCTAGAGCTAATAACTGGTAGAGCAGCAATAATAAGAGATGTGGAAGCTGAACCTATTCACATATGTCGATGGGTGAGTCCAAAGTTTGAGACTATGGAAATTGAGAGTATCGTGGATTCAAGAATACAAGGGACCTACAACACCTCTTCTGCTTGGAAAGCTCTACAAATTGCCATGGCATGTGTGCCTTTAACGGCATTCCAAAGGCCTGATATAACTTTTATCTATAACAACTTGAAGGAATGTTTGGAAATTGAGATGTCCTCTGGAAGAACACAAATTGTAGGGAACGATGATACAAGTTCAAGCAGCTCAATTAGAATGGCCTCCCAAATTGAGTCAGAAACAAGTTCAAGCAGCCCAGTTATTATCTCTATATAGACTGCTATCATGTAAGGAAAATTACCAAACTATAAGTATGATGTTCGCCAATGAGGTCTAGCCCAGTGGAAAGGCTCTTGTCTTGCAGACCAGTGGTTTCAAGTTCGAACCCCTACGGCATCTTAGCAGTGTGTCAAAAAAACACCCACCTCTTCCTAACTTTAGCAAAATATATACATGAGTATTATGTTTATCATGACCAATGACCGCGAGATTATCAGCCACCAAAAAGCTGTTCTAGACTGCACGTATTGGTTTAAGGTCTTCGCCTCACACTTGCACATTGTTATTTTCACATGAATTTGGCCTCTTGTTTTAGCTCTGTTCTATTATTGGTGTAAGGTCATCCCAAGTTTGTAATTTCAACTTTCTTGCGTACAAAAATAAGAAATATATTTACCACTCGGTCATATTCATGTGTTAAGTCTTCCTCCGTATTTCACAAGCCTTCCGTAGACCCACTGTCTTTCACATGCAGGCCAAATTTTCCGCAAAACTCAAAGCGAATTGGTCATAAATTAACTACAGAACATGTCAACATGACAGACGCACACGAGCTGCACACACAAGACTACCCAAGTCAATTGAGCCCATGCAATTTCCCTTTTGTCAATTTCAATGATTTTCCTGCTCTGGGCTAAAGACTCCGCAGATTTATGTTCCCCAATAAAATATTATTAATGAATTTTCGTACGAATTTCCCATTTCACAATTATTCAAAGACATCGACCCTAACCTCATTTTACGCAAATCTGAAAGTTCCCTTCATGGTTATCACTTATTCAATTATTTAAAAAGAAAAAATTGAAGAGCATTAGTTTTATGAGAAATATGAAAATTCGTGTAATAGAAAAGACAATTGCACATTGCACAATACAATGTCAATATTGGTTCAACTCAAAATGTGTAGCGGGTAAGCCATTAGCTATTGGAATATTCGGTAGCGATAGGGACAAGAAATGGCCCTGGATCCCCAAAAGGTGTGAAGAACAAAATCAATGTATAGGAGCTACCTATTGAGCCCATTCATAAACACAAACAAAATCATGAAAATTTTATGGTCTTTGATTCCCCTCCTAGAGATTTAAAAAAAAAAAAGTGAAGTGAGTAAAGTTAATAATTGAGACTATTGATCAGGGACCGCTTCAAGTTGCAAATTTTGGTAGGGAAATTTGTATAAATACCGTTTGAACTTTTAGTAAGCAATTTTACCCACCTAAACTTTATAAAGTATTGCAATCCACCACCTATGTATAACTCCGTTAAAATTTTCGTTAAGTTTAGGGTATTTTTGTTAATTAATAATAACTAAAAATAATTATTAAACAACAAATTAAATAATTAAATAAATAAATAAAAGAAGCGTTCAATAGGTGATGAAGGTCATAATCTTATGGTGATGGCAGAAATTGAGGCCTTCTAAACTTGTTGTGGTTGTGCCCTGGGTCTGATCTTATGGTGATCATATATGAAAATCAGCCGCACAACACCCATAGCCACCTCTTCTTTCGAATATCCTTTTTGTGAGGGCTTGACATATCTAATCTCACTAGCTCAATAAGTGTTGGATGGCATGGAATTATGGAACTATGCTTATCCATCACAGAATTAATGCTATGTGCAGGGAAAGATGCAAAAAAAAAAAAAAAAAAAAAAAAAAAAAAAAAAAAAAAAACCCCAGGTTCACAATGTCATTGTCCATGTCCCAAAGTTTAATTTGGAACTCATCACCAGCAAGCAAGCAACCATTATATGTTCGCTTTACAGCCCCTTGCTTTCATCCCATTCCACAATGTATAATTTTCCTTTATTAGTCTCATCCCATATGAGAATAAAGTATGGTTTGCATAACAATAGGAATACTTAAGCAATCAAGTACTCACGTTGAACGAGTTATGCAGTGTGTGTATACGGAGGAGGGTGTGGGTGTTGGGGGTGGACAGGCCTAGTATAATTAGGTTAATATTTGGAAGCTTTAACGGAGTTATATGTAGGTGGTGGATTACTACATTTTACAAAGGTTAGGTGGTTAAAAATTAAAATTAAAAGTTCAGGTGGTAATGACACACATGCCTATAAGTTTAGGTGGTATTTATGCAAATTTCCCTAATAATTATGGATTATTACTTACTAGCCCCTTGGCACAATTGGTTTTATTTTTTATTTTTTATTTTATTTTTAGAATTAAGAAAAGATAACATGGGTAGTTATGTTCCATAAAAGTAGGGCCTATTATCTTATTTTTATTTTTATTTTTATTTTTTTAATATGAAAAAAAAATGTAAATTTACCATATTATCCTCATTTAATTAATAATTTCAATTCTTAATGTTTGTATTAACCAAGGGTATTTTCTGGTATTTTGAATGTTTCATCATTATCTGCCTTTTGCTTTATATATATAGATTAACAATTGGTCATGGGAGTTGAAGCAGCCTGTGGTGACTTCGATTCTAGAATCATCAGCTCATATTTTAGCCATTAGTTGGCCAGTTGATTATCATCAATGGTATTTTTATGCACAAAACAGACACAATTCGTCATTAATTTTGTTTTTCTAAGATAGTCATGAATGGTAGACTTGCATGTTGTGGAAAATATTGCGCATATGACGTTTTAGAAGTTTACCAGTGACTAACAAACATTTATAACCTTATAAATGTCATCCAAATAGGACAAAATTATAATGAATATTTGTTAATTTGACTCTTCATCCCTGCCACAATATGTTTAATTAATTAGCTCTATTGGGATTAAAATATGTGATACTTCACTTTCTAACATATTGCTCGGTCAAGAAAATGTATCTGAATAGCATTTCTGATTGTATAAAATGATAACAAATATTAATCTGGTTTCCCAAAGTTGAAGGATGTCGCAAACATTCAAGCCATTCCTCCTTCCATTGCTTGGTGGCTTTGCTCTTATGCTCCTCCTAGTTCATGCCCGGGATGATCAATCGGGTATGTTCAAAACACATTTTTTGTAACATATGTATATAGCATCATCTTATATAAAACCCATGTCTTCTGTCTCAGGATTCATTAGCATAGACTGCGGCCTTGCTGGAAATTCCAGCTATGCTGAAAAGACAACCGGCATTAACTACATTTCAGACGAAACCTTCATAGACACCGGAGAAAGAAAATCCATATTGCCGGAATACAGCAATAGGTATCAACAGCCCTACACGTCTCTTAGGAGCTTCCCTGAAGGAAAAAGAAACTGCTACGAGATCAATGTTACTGATGGCTACAAGTATTTAATCAGATCAAGTTTTGTATACGGGAATTATGATGGCCAAAATAAAGTTCCCGAATTCAATCTGCATCTGGGAGCTAACTTATGGAGCATGGTGAAGTTGGAGAGTGCATCTACTATCACACACAAGGAGCTCATACATGTGCCTCGCCGAAACTATATACATGTTTGTCTGGTAAACACAGGCTCCGGGGTCCCATTTATATCAGCTCTAGAAATAAGGCCTTTATTGAATGGAACTTATAAACAGAAGGGGAGTCCTGGGCACTTGACATGCGATTTGACACGGGTCAAAACGTTAACTTAACGTCGTATAGGTGAGTACATAGTACACAGGGTCGAGAGTATTTCTCTTCCCAATGTTGGAAGACGTCCTAATATCGAATCCCCTGCCAATAATACTAATGAACTCAATGTATCTTATTCTCTATGCAGGTATCCATATGATGTTTTTGGTCGCTTCTGGAATGGCTACTATGACAATGATTGGACACAATTAATTACCACATCCACCATAGACAATAGCAATAGTTTCCGACCACCAGAAATTGTCCTGAGCACAGCTGCTACACCGAAAAATAAAAACGGTTCCTTGGAAATACGGTGGCTGCCTTCTGATAATGTTACGGAATATTATGTTTACATGCACTTTTCGGAAGTTGAGAAACTCCCAGGCAACCAGTCTAGACAGATGTACATCAATAGGGATGGAAAACTCTTTGAAAAAAGTCTTGTTCTTCGTAATTACTTGGGCGTCATAACTAGTTACAACACTAAAGCTCTCAGTAATGGAGGGCAATATAATTTCTCAATCTTTAAGTTTGAGAACTCTACCCTTCCACCAATCCTCAATGCTATCGAGTTTTACATGGTAAAAGAATTCTTAGAATCAGAAACAAACCAAGCAGATGGTAAGTAATTCTTCCCTACACGTTTTTTGCTATCAACTTAGTGCACATGTGTATGATTGATTTTGGTGAGGATTTTCTGTTTGATACCGAAAATATTTAAATCAGTTGACGCAATCAAAGACATCAAGTCAACTTATAAGATTAAAAAGAACTGGCAAGGAGATCCATGTGTCCCTCAAGCTTACTTGTGGGAAGGTCTAAACTGTAGCTATCGTGAAAATGAGTCCCCAAGAATCATATCCTTGTATGTATGTATGTCTTCAGTTTATATTTTTCTTTTAAATTCCATGTTTCAATGAATTAAGTTACGGTTATGTGCAATCTGCAGGGACTTATTCTCGAGCGGACTGACAGGGAAGATAGCTACTTCTATATCCAATCTCGAAATGATACATACATTGTAAGTGTGCATATATGCGCCTTCCTGTGTACTTGTGAAATGAGTTTACAAATTAATGGGAAGGTACACAGAATATGATCAGAATTTTTTATGGCACAATAGTTTGTTTTAAATGAGTTGAGCTGCTCATGATTTCAGGGATTTAGCAAACAACGACTTGATAGGACCAATTCCGGACTTCATGTCTCAATTGCCAAACTTAAATGTCCTGTAAGTTTTTTGTTGCTTTTAAATGGTGCAAAACTGCAAATCCTTGGTTACAAACTGAAGCAGGGTGATGGATATACTTTTGCAGAAACCTGGAGAAAAACAAGCTCACAGGCTCAGTTCCAATTAGACTAATTGACAGAAACAAGAGTGGTTTGCTATCTTTAAGGTGTTCGCTGTAGAAAACCATGGCTGTAAAACTCCATATGTGTGTGTTTGGCCTGCTTCAAATTTCCACCAGTTTTGAAACCAATTTCTGTTTTCATGAGAATTATAACATCAGCTTCTAATATTACAGAGGAGCTTATATTATTGGTACCTATTATATTGATCAAAATTTAACTACTGTTGCTATCAACCATCTTTATGTCAGTTTATGCGAAAATCCAAATCTATCTGGAGCTGTTTCTTGCAAAAGGAAGAAGAACAGTTTTGTTATTCCATTAGTAGGGTCAATCGTTGGAATTTCAGTCCTCTTATTATGTGTAGCAGCTGCTTGGTGGGGTTTCAAAAGGAAAAGACATGGTAAGACCTCCATAAATTTACGGCTATATAGTTTCATACATAGGATGAAAGTGTATATCCTAAAATGCTAATGTATAATTGTTTATACCAAAATGAACAGCCAATGAATACCAAACACGTGGAACAAACCAGGGCCACGTGTGCCTTCGGCACTCACCTTCGGTACCAAGCCTACCGATCGCAACATTAGGGCAACCTCGCCCCTCTGGACGCGTGGCAGTCTCACAATTGACGCCCAGAGTCCCACATCGTAACTCTAAACAAATTGCACACCTCCCAAGGCCTATAAAAGAGGACACCCATCCCAGCTTGAAGGTAATCAATCAGAACTTACGGCATACTGCCTATTGATCAGAAGTTCAAACTTACTTAATCCGTACTTACTTAAGCATCGGAGAGCCTTCGGCCGGTACCACACCGGTGCCCTAGGATTACCGTGTGTTTGCTTTCTTACAGATCGCACACCCTACCGAGGACATCAGATACCGAAGAGACCTAATCACTAAGTTACGCGGGAAAGTATTAAACCATTTTTCTGCGTCAACAG